CCCCCCCCGGCGCCCCCTGGCCGCCCGCCGCAGCTCGCTGGGGGCAGCCCCGGGGGGCAGGCGCCCCTCCATCGGTCCCTGGATGCTCCACAGCCGCGTCAGCTTCTCCGGGCTCCCCCTCTTCCAGCCCATCATCAAGACGCGCCTTGAAAACTCTTACAGAATGGGGCCAGACAAGGGCTGCAAGTTTGATGCAGGGCGGGTGCAGCGGGTGCTGGAGGGGGCCCTGGCCACGGCCCTGGAGACCACCATCTACAGCCCCCAGGGCAGTGCCCCGCTAGCCCAGAGCCTGGCTGAGCTGCTGCGGTGCCGGGCAAAGGAGGTGGTGCCCCCACGCTACAAACTGGTCTGCCAGGTACTGCTGGGCCAGCAAGGCCAGCAGAGCCTGCTGGTGGCCAGCCAGGCACTGTGGGACCCCCAGAGTGACAGCTTTGCCTCTGCCACCTTTTCCAATGCCTCCTTCTTTGCCGTGGCCACTGTGCATGGGGTCTACTTTGAGTAGCACCCGCATCTCCTTCCACCCATGCAGGGGGAAAGCAAATGAAATAAAGGTTTGGTCCAACCATGACTCATATTGGGAAGCTTTGACCTTGGTGCATGCAGGGAGCAAGGCATGGGTGCATCTCAGTGCCCTGAGGGTTACTACAGCCCTCACACTGTAGCTCATACCCACACATGATTTTGCAAAAAGACCCAAGCTGCAGCAAACACAACCCAAAAAGGCCGCATTACCCTGGAGCAGGGCCCTTGGGCAGCTTCCCACAGCACAAGCTGCTCCCAGGCAGATTGATTGCAGCAGCACTGGGGAAGGAGCTGACAGATCACCTTCAAAGCAGGCTGATAGAGCTGTTTAAAGCCCTCCTCTTTCCTAGCCCCGTTCCCAGCTCCTATCCCATTCACACCAGGTATCACAGTGCAAGGACCCACACAACCCTCCCAATTCCCTGGGCCACAGCCCCTGCCCACTGCAGCTCAGTAAAAGCATCAGAGTAGCTGGGCTTGGTCCAAGTGCAGAAACACTTCAGAATGAGAGCATTTGGCAGGAGCAATGAGAGGCTGAGGCAGCTCCAGGGCTCCACAGGCATCACCAAGAGCAGGAAGGGCAATGGAGGCAGCCACATGGGCTTCTCTCCCCTATCCTGGCCCCCTGACCTTGTCCCCAGCATCAGGAGGGGTCTTGCCTGGCAGGCAAAAGCAACCCTATAGCAAGGATGATGGGGAAGCTGAAGCCCCTTTTGTGCCCCCAAGGGCACATAGGGGCACATAGTTTGCTCTTACAGAAGTAATTTTTTATTGAGGCGAGTTGGGGTTGGGGGAGCTGCACACAGACAGACCAAGAGGAAAATAAATAATTCCATATAAATAAGATACATAAATAGTTCCCAACATGGCAGAGACTGCCTTGAAATAAACCTCCCCAGGTCCCAGTAAGACGAGGACTTCTCCAGGTAAGCCCTCAGATCCCACCCCCCCACCCTTTATCAAACCTCAAGTTGTACCAGACAAGTCACGATTCAGGAACAGATGGGGCACGGTCGGGCCCAGCACAGCCCCCTCCTTAGTGTAGCAGTTGTGGAGTGGCATGCACCAGCCCACGCAGCCCCTGGCAGGGCAGGCAGTGTCCTTCACCCCTGTCCACCCCTAGGAAGGGGGTCTCCCTACCCCACAGCAGCCAAACGTTGGGGTCAAGGCTGTCCGTGCTCTCCAGGCCATGCAGTGACGCAGCTGGTGCATCACCTTTGGCAGGACAGAGCACCAAGCCACGAATGAGGCACAGCCAGCCCCAAACCTGGCTGCAGGGCACTCACCCACCACCTCCCCGTGCCACCCCAGTCCACTCCACCAAGACCAGCACAAACACAGCAGGAGCTGCCAGCGGGAAGACAGCGATTGCCCAGAGCCAGGGAGCAGCGAGGGTGTCCAGACCTGCTGCTGTAACCACATCCACGTGTTTTAGTCCAGAATCCAGCCGAGCACCGGGATACGGGGTGCCCAGATGGGCAGCCAGCACCACAACATACCTTCCATCCTGTGGGAAGGCAGGGGGACACCTCTACATCCAGAGAGGGGTCCCCCAAAGTCCCATGCTAGGCCTCAGCCCGTTCTTGGAGGAGCTTGAGGATGTATCTGAGGCGGTGGTGGAGCTCGGGAGAACAGCCCAGCTCCTGGATGCTGCACAGCTTGTAGGTGTAGGAGTTGCGCTCCCGGTTGATGTAGGTGACAAGGCAGGAGTGGTCAGGCTTGCTAATGATCACCTTGGTGTGGTCGTTGTAGAAGTTCACCTAGGAGACAGGTTGGGCTTGATTTAACCCACGGCATGTCAGGAGCTGGGATGGAGCCACGCACTTCCCGTCCCAACCTGTTCCTCCTCCCTGACCTGCCCAGGACCATCCCTGCCCCATGCCCCATGGTCGTGTCCCCCAAGGGCTGGAACAAGCTGCAGGCAGCAGCTCTGGGCACTGGAGCAGCATCCAGCACTCACAGCTGTTTCCACAGCTGGAATTTGCCTTTGGGCTGTGGCAGACAAGAGCTAACACAGGCCACGAGTCTCCAGTTGGCCCCCTCCCCACAGGGGTCTGTGCCCCACACGTACCTGGAGGGTGCCATTGCTGAACAGCATGAGCAAGGCTTGGTCCGTCTTCACCCACTGCAGGAGAAGCAGGGCTGGCTGCCCAAGGTCATCTATGCTGGGCAAGTCACCTCCCTTGGAGAGAGGAGTCTGTGTAAGCCACTGGTCCCACATGTGGTACCCACAGCCAAACCTCAGCGCATCCCCACGAGGTCACCACCCCCAGAGACCACAGCTCAGTGTCCACCCGACCACAGCCTGTGAGCCAGGACTTCCACAACCCGAAGCAGACCCAACATCCAATCTCTCCCCATCATCTCAGCCCAATGCAGGGCCCCATCACCCACCTTCATGAGATGCTGCTCCATGTAGGATGCGAAGTAGCGCAAGACGCTCATCTGCCCCTGCAGCTGCTCGGGGATGGCAGCCACGGAGAACACAAGGTGCTTGCTGTTGGTCGGGTTGTAATGCACTGTCCTGGGAGCGAGAAGAACATGAGATTTTGGGTCACCAGGTGCCAAACCCACACCCCCAGCACAGCCTCCCCTTGCCCCGTCCCCGCTGCTTACCTGTGGTTGGGGGAAAGCGTCATGTGCGTGCCGTTGTTGAAGAGGACCCCGATGCTGCGGTTGGAGAGCTGGTAACCAAAGCCGTACTTGTTGGAGTAATCCACCCACTTGCTCACCCAGACAAAGTGCTCGTGGCGGGCCAGGGAAGCTGGGTTTTTCTCCGCTGGTGGAGAGGAGATGGGGTGAGCAGAGCAGAGCAAGCAGCCCCTGCCCACAGGAGACCCCTACAGCAGGCTCCAGCAACATTGACAGCACCCAAAATAGCAGTCATGCTTTCATCCCACGGGGAAGGGGATGCACCCTGTCCCATCCCAGAGCAATCCAACCGGTTTTACCTGGAGGCATGGAGGAGAGGCAGGTCCACAGGAGCCGGACAGCCGACTCGATGATGGCAGAGGCAGTGATGCAGTCTTCAAAGGCTGCAGAGAGAAGATGACAGCCTGAGTCAGCCGGCCCTGCTATCACCAGGGCAGGACAGGAAGCTCAGAGCAGTTTGGGGTGGCCTGGGCAGGCATTGCTCACCCTCGCAGCTGCTGGCCATCGTTCCCCGGATGGAGGGGGATGCAGACTTGTGAGATGTCTCCTCCACCACCGTCTCCACAGGGCTGGAGCTGGCGCTGCGGCACGATACATGGGCAGCCTGCAGAGATAACTGGTTTTAACATCACCCCACCAGCTCCTCTGAAGGGGGGTGCATGGGCTCAGGGCTGCTCTCACCTCGTTCCCTTCCACAGTTTTATAGCTCATCTGCCGGCAGATCGATGTCTTCATCAGCCCAGTGACCAGTTTGGAGATGTCATCCTTGTCCTCCGAAGGGCTCTTTTTGGCTGAGGAGAGCAGACAATGAGCACATGGGGGATGGGGACATCTGGGCCACCCCTCCCAGCAGCTCAGCTCTCCATAGCCACAGTGATGAGGATGGTGTCAGGCAGCACCTCCCACTTTCACTTCCCAGTTCTCATGCAACACAGGGAGTCCAGGAGGAACTGCCCCCATGGGTTGCAGCACAGCATCCGCTCTCCAGGCACACACCACCCATGCCAGGCCACAAGGGCAGGGGACAAGCCCAGGCAGGGGGGCCCCCATGGAGACCCACCAGGAGACGGGACCCACTTCTCCCTGGAGGAAATGTCAACCAGAGGCTCGTGGGCAAGTGCACGGACTCACCCTTGGGTTTCTTCTTCCCAAAGAGCGTTTTGCTGACTTTAGCGAACAGGCTCTTCGCTGGGTTGGGGGGACTCAGCTCTGGAGCCATCACGCAGCTGCTGGGAGGGAGCTTCTCCGGCGTGTAGCCCTGCAGAGAGGTCAGGGCAGAGGTTTAGTTTCCATAGCCCACGTGCTCCGGGCAGAGCAGCTGACCTGCTCTGACCGCAGTCACTCGCAGCCCTCCCGACAGCCAGCTTGCATTTCCATCAACCCTTGGCCCCACAGCTGGCATCAGTACAGGAAACAGCCCGCGCTATAGGGACAAGGCAGCAGGAGGACACCAGAGCCCTCAGTTCCTCTGGGTGGCATTTGGGCAGGATAGCAACTGCTTCCTATGAAAGTACTGAGACCTGGGCTCCAAGGACAACACCCTGCACAAGCCAAAAAAAGCCTCATCCCACCCGGAAAAGAGTCGCGACCACAGCCCTGTGCAGTCACCTTGAAGAACTCATGGTCCAAGATCTCCTCGAGGGTGAGGCGGTCCTGGGGGTTGCGTCTGAGGATGCCAGCAATGAGGTGCTTGGCAGGCAGGGAGAGGAAGGCAGGGAGGGTGTACTCCACCTGCTTGATACACCGGTAGGTCTCCTTGAGGTCCGAGGTCTCGAAGGGAGGGCTCCCACACAGCAGGGTGTACCTGGGAGGGGACACGTGTGCCACTGTCACATTCCTGTCAAGCCTGTGACTCAGGAGCACTTAAAGCAAGGAAGTTATTGGCATCTGGCTGGCCACACCTGGCCAGGAGCGCTACTTCCAGCCGGGGTGGCCACACTCACATCCGGCCACGCTTCCTCCTAGCAACTGTTTACAGCAACAAGCGAGGAGCCCTGGGGACCGGGGAGAGGGAAAGGCCATCCCTCTGTCACCAACTGCTCAGCCACCGAGGCAGAGAGCGGAGCAGGAAACCTGCGGGCAGCGGCCAGGCGAGGGGCTGGATGTACCGAAGCAGCCGAGCGATCGCTCCCCAC